CCAACCATCACGATTTTTTTCGGGATGCATAATTGTGCAAGCCTCCTCTGCAACGTTAAGGTGCGCAGACTGCTTGTCTGCACTCAACGCGAGGTGGCCATCTACAATGAAAGTTGCGATATCATTGCAAAGAATTATGTACAAATATGAGGCATACTTTACAACACACATTAACGCCAATTAAAAAGTCGCTAACCTGTATAAACCTCCCTGCTCCCTTTTTGCGAATTATATGTTCTCTCTCAGGAAGCCACAACTTTTTCTTGATGTCGTGCGAAGCAAACGTGCTTTTATCGTGCTTGGATAGGATTATCGCTTCGCCTTCTGGCCACACCGCAACTTCCATCTCAGGCCCTTCAGAATTAGGCATAAAGGTTTCGAATTCTTCCATTCGCTGCAGAAACTCTTGCCGATATGCGTCCACGTCTGCGAGTGCGTGCCCATTAACGTACATGCCCTTTCTCACTTCCGAGTATTGAAGGCCAAGGGATTTCAATTAATGAGTGGCTGTAGCGACATGAATGAAGGCATCGGGATCAATCGTCGGAAGAATTTCTTCATTGAAATGCTTGGCGAAATCGATTAGTTAATCGTGGAATTTGCTGATGCGAAGATAGTTTTGCATCATATGACATTTTTTTCCTTGAGCAAGCTGATGGTTTTGACGTGATTTCCTTTCTTGCTTTGAGATTTTTTGCCGGTTTCGAGATATTCCCGTGAAAAGCACGAAGCATCACGGCAAACCAACGGCCTTTGCCGTTTACCGTGGCAATTGTGCGCGACGCTAAATTATATGGATATATGAAAGGTCATTAGTACAATAATCGTGGGACAATAATGCAACGCAGAGCAGACAGTGCAAAACCATACCTTACTTCCACTAAGCACAAGTCTGAGATTTTCTTCGATTGAAGCAAGGCACACGCACGTAACATTCTCCTGTGGTTTCTTCGCCTTGGTAAGTCTTTCGATTATCCTCAGTGAGCTTGATGGTAGAGCAAAATGTCTCTTCGTCGTCTGATGGCCATTAAGTTCGTCGCCACAACTGGCAGGTTGCGCCCAAGCCTTTGCTGAGGTCTTCGCCAGCACAACAGAAAAGTACGTTTCATGCGTTCGCGGACCAACTGCCGCCTTCCTCTCTTCAGCACGCTTACGGCGTTGGGTTCTTGGAGCGTCGCCAATATACCGCATAGATAGGTAACTGCGAGCAACCTTATCCAACTCATCAATTTTGTCCAAGATTCCCGCCGTTTCCTCCACCGTGAACTCCTCAAATTAAAACTCAAGATTATCTTCCTCTTCACTCTCATTTTCCGCCTCCTGATTGTAGTTACCTTAATGTACATCTTCAAACTCTTCAATCTCACTTTCCAACTCTTGAGCGCATTTTCCTTCGTGTCACTCATCCACTTTGTCACTGTTGTTTGCGGATTTCGCTTGCCTAACTTAAGTCCTCTACTCTTTCAAAATGAACCTCATAAATGAAAGTGCTATTGCCGTTTGTTTGGCGCGTCATTTTTGTGGTTGTTGAATGATTTCATACGTAGGTTGCTGGCGGAAACGTGCAAAAGACGTGTTTGTTGTGTGCGGTGCGATGGGAGCGTTGAAAAAGGCGTTTATTTTCGGTTGCGGAAAACGGCTAAAAATGTTTTGAATTTGGCCCCCGGAAAAATTTGTTGCAGGTTATAGGTAATTCGCACCGTATTAAGATTGATACCATCTGATTATAATCGATAAGGTACGTTATTTCCGGTTAGCGTTTTTAATACAATACTATACCTATCAGTGAAACTGAGCTCTTGATGAGCGTATTACACCAGCGTATCTGATTATTAAAATCGTTTATATAACTCCGTCACACAAATCACAGACCTTGTCTTAAATAATTAGTAACAGCAATATTTTCTGTGGCAGTCTGCTGATAGTCGATTGCTTTATTCTTTTAAACACAAACAGAAAAGCAGATTAATCCTACGTCAGTCTCGTCGCTATCCTTATGACCGCGTTTTGCGTCAATCCTCCACTTCTCGGTATCCAGTCTGCAAGGTCGCGGTCGTGGTTCTGATGAGGAAAAAATTTAGAGAACAATTAATTTAATAGTCTCGTACTTGATGTCGATCTTTTAGGCGTTAATGCTCTTCTACGTAACCCTATCGCTCTGATAATATCACTCGACGCGAAAAATAAAAATCCAACCTGCTCGCGCGTTTCCTTACGGGATCGGTTAGCTATTACGTTTAGTCAAATACGACCTAAATCATCACACTCTTAAAGTACTTGCCGCTGTAGCTACTGCAGCCAGATCGATCGTTGATAATGCATGTACAAACAGTCCACTGACCTCGGTAGTATAAGATTAAAAATTAACCAAGCAGCCATATGCTTCGCTTTGGTTTTACGATAGTCATTAAGCGTGAAAGGGAAGTCATGTTTTGGATTGCAGTACTGTTTGACTTTATGTGCAATCTTTTCTATTCTTATCATCTGATGTAGTAGTGAGTGATTACGGCGCCATCATTTATTTTTAACACATCTCCTGGGTGTGTACGTATCAAAGGGTGATTGCGTACCTAAAAATCTCCTTATCATATAACGGGAGCGGCTAACCGTTCAATTTGTGCTAATTAGCTTTCAGTTTTCGTTAGTGAGCCTTTACCCCGTTCACTAAACAGGCAACTGGATCTAAAGGCCTCTGGATGGCCAAATTATATTTGTTCACTTTTAAGAGTTCTGTTCAACGCAGATCGTCTAATACATCGTACCTATGACCACCTTTCTCAACAGCAACATGAAAGGCCTTTATACGTCACAGGAAAGCTTTTTTCTTCTGTGGACGAAGCCCGACACACAGAGCGGAAGGGAATGTCGTTAAGCAGCGTAAATACAAGCAGTACCGGAAGCTCCTTCCGCATTGATACGGATCGAAGATAGATTGCTGTTAAAGCCTTTACTTGGTGCTATCAGTGCTGCTATATAAATTAAGCTATTAATGTAGATGTAGTTGTAGAGAGTCGATGAAAAGATGCAGGTTACTTGTACTTAGATGCCATTACTATGAAATTCTATCCCCAATAATCTGCACATCAAATCTTGTTCGAATGGCTTTCTTACAACCTCTTACAGATCTTTTACAACAAGCACTTTGACTAGATGGTTGTGTCATGTTACGGTACAATGCCAACTAGTGAATGCGACGAGTGCATATTGAAGAAGTTAAATGTAGTAAACATAAATGAGTTCGATGCAGTTGACATCGAGGAGCTTGAGGCGGTTGACTTTTCGACAGTTATGAGGTGAAGTTCGAGGCAGTTAACGTGACACAAAAGAGCATAGGTACTAAGCACAGTATCGAATTTTCAGGGAAGAAGTGAAACGAGACAGCCTCAGCGGAGTCAAAAGTAGTAGTAACAAGAATCTAATCAATTCAATTCATTTTACTTGCGCTGCTAGCTCACAAAATCTTCGATTTAATAGCACCCAAGTGCAACTAGAGAGAGACCAGAATCAACGAAGAACTTCCATCGATCAATTATGAGGCCTGCAAATCCGACTAATTGTTTGATGTAGGGGTGAAGGATCATTAGCGAAATCTTAAGGCTCGTTAGCGAATCCCTTTATTCACTATATATGTTGCAGTTGAGCACACTCGGCTCATTTAACTGACAAACACCACGAAACTAATTTAAACGGTCTATTTAAGACAGCCGAACGCAATTAGTGGTGCACTTAAGACAATTGTTAAGAACCGACAACATTTCACCACGCTCTCATTAATTACCCACCACCTTTTGAAATTGCTTGAATACAGCTTTAAACCTTCTGGTTTGTCAGAGGAGAGAAGGTCAATTTTTAAAATTAGCAGTGAACTTCGTACCCAAGACACGTATTACAATTCTTACTCTGAGTATTTGGACACAATATCATTCAATATAGAAAGATGAAAAAATCCCGATTGATCACAATTTATATTAAAGAGTGGTAATTTTTTGTTTCGTTATCTTTACTATTTCCACCTTTAAAAGAAAAATAGAGTAGTTTTCGATTATTTATAACACGGCGCGGTGATAAAGTTTACGCACCACGCGCCAATATACGTGATGTCCGAAAGACGCAAAATACTCTAAGAATAGAGCTGACCATTATAGTATCACTTTTTATATAAAAGAAGAAGCTAGTTTGAACACGTCTCTGGATTCCTAGAGACGGGTGGTGGAGGGAAAGAAGTCTGCGAGCAAAATCAACGCTATCTAGATCACGAGCTTAAACTCAAGCGGCGGTCCCCTTCTGTACATAAGGTTCCTCCGCGTCGTTAGAAGGTGCGTATCGTTGGTTAATTGTGCAGTGACAAAGTTGCAATAGAAATGTACCGTGCGCTAAAAACTAATCTATTGCTGTATTCAATGAGCGACGGCAAGCCGAAGAAAACGAAAGGCGCACAAAAATCGCGAATGCAACACCGCGCCTATATCAGTTCTACAAAATGATAAGGAGCAAGCAAGCTATAAACAAGATAGATTTCTCTAGCTGCAGGACCCGCATATCGCTTCCGTTCAGATTTGATTTTCCGTTTTTTTTTTTTTTGTGTGCATGTAAGATTGCAGAGGATGACACATGCACCACGACATTTTTGATAGCCACGACCAAACTTACTTGCTTTATTGTGCGCGCCTTCAACCGAGTCGACGACCGCTGTACGTTACTCCGTATCTTCTACACTCTTGAGAAATTGAGGCATGAGCGTCTGCTGTGCCTCTAATATTTGCAGATACTGCTATTTCGAGTCAAGAAAGCAGATTTTTCGATGTGCTTGAACGCAGACGTGTCTCGCAGCTGCATTCTTGTATTGTTTTCGGAGAAGTTAAAATAGCACAAATGGGAAGGATTAAAAAATTATAACCATTAAAAAGGCTTCCGGATGATTGGAATATAAGATGTACCACGTCCTAGTTTACTCGCGTAAACGTCGTAATCATTAACATCACATCTTAAATCATTTCTAAATGCCCATTTTACGGCCGCGCTCAACGCCGCTCTGTAGAAGAAGCCGCGGAGGGGGTTTTGCCGCATGCATCCTGCGCTCGCAGTCTCCAGCTGTGTGCTCGGACGACGCAGGTAAGATATTTACGCGTCTTCGAATCATCGGCTGCGGCCACAAACAACGACAGTCGGTGTTGACGTTGTTGTTATTTATAATAATGTTGTTGCTATGTATTCTTACGTTAAATTAATGCTATTGTTGTTATTATTCTTATTTTTGATGTTGTTGTATTAGTTGCTGATGTTTATGCTGCTGGTGCTACTGTTGCTGCTACTGCTGTTGTTCTTGTAAGTTATCAATGTTGTCCTATTAGTTCTGTAACTGGTGCTGCTGGTGTTATTTTGTGTTACTGCTGCTGGTGTTTTTTGGTGTTACTGCTGCTGCTGCCTCTTCTGCCGTCGCTATACATATTGATGTTCTTAGTGTTAGTTTGATTAATGTTGTCGTTGGTACTACTGTGCTGCTGTTGCAGCTGTTTTAGTTGTAAAATCAGTATTCGCTCCCGCTCATATGACAAAATTTTCAGAGCATATAGACTATGGCAATAGACTATAGTGAATCTATTCTACGTTTGTATCTTAATTAAATATTTTCTTAGCTTTCAGAATTCTTTAATTGCAGTTAAATTGCAAGCAGGAAAGGTGCGATGATGCCTCAAGCATAGTGTGCCGAAGCTGTTCGTATTTTTTTTGCAAAATTGTTGCTTTATCTGTTTCGTCCGTATAGACATCGTAACAATACGTGAATATGAATCTTTAGTTACTCTGGATGTAATACGATAGTCCCCTCTTAAATTTTAAGGGCACAAATCTGTGTCCAAAATGAAGGTACGGTAGCAAGCAACAAGAAATCGGTATCAGTGCTTTTGGAGACCTTAAAGTTCTATTGAGAAGATTCATTAGTGCTGTTAGTGATTATTAAATTGGAAATAGCAGTCTTGACGTAGAGAGCTCAAGAGAATATGATATTACACACAAGACATTTGATATAGTCGAAGTTTTGACTCACTCCAACATACATGAAATAGTTTAAAGCATCAAATACACTGTACATTGAGCCATGGTTCGAAATCCAACAAGTTTTTGCATAATTTTGTCATACGTTATCCTTCAGCACTTGGCTTGCGGCCTCCACTAGTCACATCTGGTGACACACCACATGCTGTGTAACGGGGCACCCTGAAGCTTGTACTGGTGACAGTACAAGCTACTTATTCTGATGACAGGATAAGGCGGTGCCTCGTAACTTCACGTACACTCGTACGTGCAGAGGAAGACGGTAAGAAGAAGCGAGTACTTGGTTAGAGTAAAAAGTAGAACTGTATTTATAAGAGTTAATGTCTGCAATAAATCACTATTTATCTTCATCTAACTATGTCTAAATACAAATGTGTAAATCAATTATCTGCTCACCACTCATTGCGTGCGTCTGTCGTGGCGCGTCTTCGTTGGTCGATATAATGGCCTATATCAACCAATTAGGAACTACTCGTAAGTGCTACAGAATATTTGTCCTTATGACAATATTCTGAGAATATAACTCTTATAGTTATATTCTATTAACAATTTCTTATAAATTGTTATGTAACGATTCACCCCGTTACATCACCCCCCCTTAACCATCAGTCACTTTAGCGACTGATTGACTAAATGGATACTCGTCCCAAATCATTTGGGACAGGGTTTGCACTTGTTGGTCCGCGTCCACTTTCCAACATTTCATCGCATGGTTAACAAGTCTATGCGGTGCGCGAGCAAGGCCGCCGAGAGCGCGTCCGCACGTCTCTGTGTGGACGCCGAAGCATAAACCACAGCAACTGATGTCTCATCGGTTGCTGAAGCGACCCAGCCTGTGTCACTTGGTGATGCATGCGCTGGTCATGAAGACACTCATGTCTTCACAGAGTACGAGCTCGGTGTCTCGTACTCTCCTGATACGGAAGACGGATCCGTATCGACGGCGATTAAATTCAAGCCGCCTGCCAAGCGTGGCATGGACGATGCTATGTGTCACAGCATCTTTGGTTCATCCGATGAATCAGATGAACCATCGCCGAAGCGAAGGCGCTCGAGGTCGCGAGACTCGGGCGCTAACAGTGGTGTCGGTTCTCCTATGGACACCACTTCACAGCGAGGTGCCAGTACTTCTGTCGGCACTTCGCAGGAAGAGCGGGACCGCAATGTGTTGCGTCTCGCTCCTGAAAAGAAGGCATGGATGCCTCCAAAATCCGTCATGGATCACTTGTCGGCGACGACGAGTGATCGTTATCGAACACGGTTGTTCGATTCGTCAAGGATCCATCACCTTGACCCCAGTGCGAAAACTATCGCGCTGAACATGAATTCTTCATCGATGCTTTCTTTAGACATCGATGGTACAGTGGGAATCACAAACGTGATGGTCCCTCACTGCTTCAAGCGTGGAACGCCTACATCCATAACCTCGAGGATGTAGGTCGTGACGCTTGGAACGACAAACTTATCAAAGCTCGTGATAAGTTTGAGAAAAGAACTCCGACAGGTGCACGCTACAAGCTGCATCGTCTGTCAAGGGAGAAAGGATTACCCTGCCTCTCTTGGGGAGACTCGTGCCCGTGTTGTGTGAACAACTCTGCACGAGCACCTAAGGAGGCTTACCTCCCTAATAGCCCGTGGTGGCGCGTACGTATCTCTATTGAGATGTACGAAGGGATTGACAACCTGAAATACCTTTACGACCGTGCCGGGAAGACTTTCTCCGGCGGTCCTTCTGCGGCACAGGATGTGCCGCGTCGTACTGCTCAACCAGACCCAGTACGTCGATCATCAGTTGGGAGCGGGGCTCCCAAGAATCCCAGGACGGGGGATAGCCGCGCCACCGGACGAGATAACTCGTCTGACGTCCGTTCACGTCGCGGTGGTTCAACAGCTGCTCAACTAGATAGCGCTGGCCACCGCGAGAGTCCTCTAATGGAGGTGGAGGAAGAGGAAAGACGCTCTCCACACGATCATGTGGATCGGTGTGTTCCCGAGGGCTTCTTTGATCGCGTAACGCAAGGGTTACGCGACGATCTCGAACATGAGCGGAATAGGCGTCTCCAAATGGCGGACACTGCATCGAAGCATCGAGCTGAGTTTGCCTTTGCTCAGCTTGAGAACGAGAGATCTCTGACATCTCTTCGTGACGAGCTAAGGGTAGCTCGTGGGATTGTTGATCGGTCTCGGGATGAGATAGCTGCTCTTCAGACCCTTGTTGATGCCCACCATCGGGAGCACAAGGCTCTCTGCGAGATGCTTGAGCGCAAGGGCGTTCTTCATCGGAAGAAGCAGCGTACTGATGGTACGGCTTAAGCCGACCAACGTAAAACGTGGGATGCGTTCGCATCTTACGTGGTAACTCGATCGTGTATGCATTGCCTAGGCGGTGCAATACACGAAATGGGCCGATGTACTTGGGTAGTAGTTTACTACTACCCAAGTTAGTCACTACATGCTTTGGTAGATTAACTGTAGATAGTAGGACTAAGTCACCTTTATTAAATAAAAGAGTGTTTGCCCTTCCATTCTTGTCAGCGTTTTGCTTTTGCTTGTCCACCGCTTCGGTGATGGAGTCTTGCACAAAACGGACTACCGTTTCACGAGACAGTATGAACTCATCTGCTGACTCGTTAGCTTCAGTGCGCTGTGAGCGCACTGCAGCAACATCAACCTTTTCTTCAGTGAGGGCTTCCGCACTCTCACTGGCATCATCTTCTTCGATATCGATAACATCGATATCGGCATCAAACGCAATGACCTCTTCGTCAGAGCGTGATGAGCGTGAATCAAATCGGTTTTTGCTCGCGCGAGTCCCTCCCCCCTTAAACCAGAGTTACACTCTAGTAAGGTGGGTACACGCGGATGGCGCAAGCCATTCACGTAAAACGGTGTATGTGTCGTGGACGCATGCACCGAGTCGTTAATGGCAAACTCTAACATTGGCAAAAACTCACTCCAACTCTTAAAGGAGTGTACGTATCCTCGAAGTATCTCTTCAAGGACACGATTGGCACGTTCCGTCTGACCATCTGACTCTGGATGATCAGATGTCGACATCTTTAAGCGCGTTCCGAGTGATTTGAACACGGAACGCCAGAAATCAGCAGTGAATCGTGGATCTCTGTCTGATACGAGTTCACGGGGCAACCCATGAAGTCAGAAGATGGTGTCAATAAAGACACAAGCACAGCCACTTGCCGTGATTGTCTCTGATACAGCCACAAGGTGTACCATTTTGCTGAATCTGTCAACAAATACGAGAATACCCGTATTCCCGCGTGCGTCTTTGGGTAACCCGAAGACGAAATCAATTGAGATGGATTCCCAGCACTCAGCCGGAACCGGTAGAGGCTGTAAAGGTGCACGCAGTGAAGGACTTGACTTCACTCGTTGACAGACTTCGCCTGCGCGAACATACTTTCGCACAAACTGATACTGGCGGGGCCAGTAAAAGTCTCGACTCACCGTGAGATTTGTTTTCTCCCGGCCACGATGTCCTCCTATAGGAGCATCTTGATACTCGAACATGATCCGCAAACGCAGATCAGTATCAGCTGACATGACAACACGTGGTGTGTCACCAGAAACGGCTGTGTAATGCAGTAAACCGTTACGAGTAGTGTATCGATCTGATGCAGATCGATACGCAGACGACAATCGTTTTAACGATTCTAGAGATGGTTGGGAGAGATGTGTCAACAACTTCACAATCTCACCATCTTGGGCGTATGCCCGCCTCACATCATCATACAACGTTGTAGATGGGACTGAGGACGTCATAACCGCAACAGTAACTGTCTCACTGTTTGGTTTCACGACTGGTTCAAAGTCGGGACGACGTGAGAGTGCATCAGCGACGACATTAAGTCGTCCTGGTACTCGACCGTAAAGTTGTATTCTGCAAAGAATGACAACCACCGCGCCATTCGTTGTGAAAGGTGCGGGCTGTTCACTGCCGTGCGTAATGACGCATGGTCAGTGTAAACAATGAAGGGTCTATCTCCTAATAGATAGACTCTGAACTTCGCGAGTGCATACTTCATGGCAAGGAGTTCCTTGTCATGCACTGGATAGTTCCGCTCAGCTGGTTGCAGCTGACGCGACTGATAGCAGACGACGCGTTCAACGCCTTCTAGGTCGTACTGCATTAATGCACAGCCGATTGCGAAATCGCTGGCATCACAGACCACATGAAATGGCCTGTCCTGATCGGCTATTGCTAGGACTGGAGATTGTATCAAGCTCTGCTTGATACCCTCAAAGGAGCGCTGACATTCAGCGTTCCATAACCACCTCTCGTTTATTTTTCAACAAACGAGAGAGGTGCACAGTCATCTCGGCGTAATTGCGTGAATACTTATGCAAATACGCCGCTAGCCCAAGGAATTTTCGAAGACCTTTGACATCAACCGGCCCAGGCCAGTCGGTGATCGCCTCGATCTTTTCAGGATCAGGACGTACACCTTTCTTACCAACGATGCACCCAAGAAGTGGTATTTCGCTTGCTGCAAATATACACTTCTTGAGGTTAGCATACAATTGATGCTTTCGCATGATTGTAAGAACCTGTCGGACGTGGTACCTGTGAACCTCAACATCCGACTTTCCATCCATAGCTCGACTATGGATGAATACGTCATCGAAATAACTCGGCGCGAATTCGCGTACTGGTCTCAACAGATGTGATACACGTCTGTTGAACGTGGCAGGGGCATTACTAAGCCCTTGTGGCATTACTAGCCGTTCCCAGAGCATACCGCTAGGCGTGCTAACTGCGGTATAGGGTATATCCCGTTCCCGCATAAGGATTTGATAGAAGCCATCCATCAAATCCATGGACGAAAAGATGGTACTCTTCGACATACCATCAATGATTACGTCCTTCCTCGGTATCGGCGTCTGAGCCGGTACCGTTGCAGCATTCAACTTGTTAAATGCATGCACTATCCGCCTCCTGTTGCTTTCGCACACAGAAGGTCGGAGAGCTAGGTGGGGAAGTTGATTCCCTCACATGGCCCGCTGCTAAATGATCGGCAAAGAACTTGTCGATCGCAAGTACTTGTTCACGAGGTAGTGGCCACTGCTTCATGACACAGTACTTCGAGCCTGGTTTAAGCTCGACCTCGTGTCGAATACCTTTATCCTTCGGTAATTCGCACGGAACAGTTTCAGGGAACACATCCTTGAATTCAACCAAATCTTCATAGAGAGGATTTGTCTTGAGAGATTCCCACGATTGGGAGTCATATCGCTCAGCTCGTGTATTTTCATCTAGGAAACTCTCGTCCATAGGTGAACTACTGAGAACTCTCTCGTTCTCAGAAAACACTGTTGCTGACCTTATGTCGGTTACACACTCGTCGTCAGCGACGAGTATGCAGATCTGCTTGACTTTGCCACTACGCAGATCACGCAAGAATCTTTTGTGTTCGAGCGTTGGCAACTGAGTGATCTCCGAAGTTAACTTCGGAGGCGCAATCAGATCAAGTGTATAAGCGCCTACACTTGATCCGTTATCGACTATGACATTCAATGTCTCTGTCATTTCCTGGGGACATATTCCCTCAGGCTTCGAAGGACTTATTCCTTCGGCTTCCCGGGGACTTATTCCCTCGGGTTTCGGGGAACTTATTTCCACCGTATTTGTAATCTTGGGACTTATTCCCTTTACTTCCTCTAGCTGGGATTGCGCAACCACAGCGAGATCCTCTACGAAAGGTCTCCAGTCGATCTAGGATTATCGTTTCGCTTAACCTGAGCGATCGATTGTTTCTCTTCTAGATGTTCCCCGCTAGGGATACATCTTTGTCCCAGTCCACCCGACTTATTCGAGTGGTGGACCTTCGGCGCAGCCTGTGTTTCCTCACAGCCGCCGGAACTTTGCTCCGAAGTGTAACCGTTTGGTACACTTAGGTTTTGTGCAGTCGTACTAACGACCATACCACAAGTGAGGCCATCGCACTCACTCGTAGTACATCCACACGCTTGTGGACGCTCCAAAACGTTCATCAGATGGCCATCTGATGAACAAGCGGCAGGCATCGTTACTGTCTGATGTTGCCAGTTTACTCGTGGTTCGTACCTTCTGAGCCACGGTATTCCAAGGATGACATCAAATTTGTCATCCAAATCCAATACGATAAAGTCATCGTCATATTGGGTATCTTCTAACGTATAGTGGATCTTCACTATACGCTTCATGACGGTTACGGATGCGCCTGTCGCAAGACGTACCGTCATCCTCGTAGGAGGTGTGTCACATTCACTGAAATTAAAGTGACCATCTTCTAGCGATTGGCGTCGCACAGAATTGTTGGACGCCCCACAATCGACTAGAGCTCGAAGGGACAACTTATTCGTCACTTCGAGTTTCAAGGTAATGAGTGAGACCTCATTAACTAGAGCAGCAACGCACAACGTTTGTGTGTTGGGAGCAACCTTCATCAAGAGGCCTACAAATTCTCTTGACGTTGCTGGACCAGTAGGGTGCTCCGCACCTACTGATCCTGTCCGTTTTTTGACGGTCCATCCCGTTGTTGCGTCTTTGCACCAACAGCGGACCCTCGTCCCTGCCCCTTTCTCATGGGTGGACGGTCACTACGCCCAGTGTCGCGAGACACTGTACGAGGGGCACTACACTCGTAAGCGTAGTGTCCTGTCTTTTGACATCTGTTGCATCTCTGCAACTTCTTGTAGCCTGTAGAGCGATCCTTCTCGCTCTCTACATAACAGAGTTCCATCGGCTCTGGACCTCCATTGTCATATCGTCTCGGTTGACGATATGATGTCGAGCTGGCGCGAGCCTGTCTCAGACTGAAGTCTTCCTGCTCCGCAATGGAAATGGCTTGTTCTAGTGAATCTAGTTCAAGCCGGAACAGGTGAGTCTTGACGGGACCATCCGCAAGACCCTGCATGAACACCGAAACCAACGTGTGTTCATCCACCGGATTGGAACTTATACAACTCGTGAGATGTCGTATATGTTGAGCGTAAGCGTGCACATCACGCTTACCCTGCTTGAGCTTCAAGAGTTCGGTTCGAGCTCTAAACTCAGCTCTAGGCGGTTCAAACGTTTGTCTGAGCCGCGACTTGAAGACTTCCAACAACCCAAACGCATATGGGTCGTGCAACTTGAGCCCCAGTGCCCAAGTCTTGGCACGTCCTGCCAGATTTGACTGGGCAAATGCAACTTGCATTTCCCCATCGTCGATGCGACGCGCCCTATTGGCGTCATCCAATTCGACAAACCATCTCAAGAGGGAGTCCTGTTCGACTCCCCTATACTTGAAGATATCAATCTTCAAGGTTTCGGGTCGACGCGAGTGCATCGACCCGCCAGCAGCAGCCTGTTGCTGTCTCAACAGTTCAAACTGTTGAGCACCCTGTTCTCTCAACAACTCTGCTTGTTGAGAACCTTGTTGGTGAAGCAAGGCTACTTTCTCGCGTTCAGCGTCAAGTTCATTTTGAATGAACTTGGCGATAGTAGCATGTCGGGCAGCTCTATTGAGAGCCTCTAGCATGACGCTAACAGCATGGATGCCCATGGTTGAACCCATTCGTTCAACCGCATCCCATTCGACATCGCTCAAATGGGAGTAGCCGTCACGCGTAGCGTGAAAGCTTTGGTCATCTTCATCATCCAACATATTCATGTTGGATGTGAACGTGGTCCTTGGACGGACTACTAAGTGCTACCAGGTGTAACGGGGCACCCTGAAGCTTGTACTGGTAACAGTACAAGCTAGTTATTCTGATGACAGAATAAGGCGGTGCCTCGTAACTTCACGTACACTCGTACGTGCAGAGGAAGACGGTAAGAAGAAGCGAGTACTTGGTTAGAGTAAAAAGTAGAACTGTATTTATAAGAGTTAATGTCTGCAATAAATCACTATTTATCTTCATCTAACTATGTCTAAATACAAATGTGTAAATCAATTATCTGCTCACCACTCATTGCGTGCGTCTGTCGTGGCGCGTCTTCGTTGGTCGATATAATGGCCTATATCAACCAATTAGAAACTACTCGTAAGTGCTACAGAATATTTGTCCTTATGACAATATTCTGAGAATATAACTCTTATATTTATATTCTATTAACAATTTCTTATAAATTGTTATGTAACGATTCACCCCGTTACATGCTGTGTTGTCACGGCGCTACAGACCTCCTAAACGATTCTGTAACATAGTGAACTGGTTAAAGTAATCGATGGAGCTTTTGAATGTTTAGGGGGTTACACACTCGCTAGATCCGACCTAAGGTTTCTCAACAGCACCTAGCTTACATCAGTTCCTCCCGCTGTAATTCTGTATTGACGCAATGTAGCGTTGATTCGAGAGTCAGTCCACTCTGACGCGGTGAATACGTGCGTGACCGAACTCATCCGTTGTAGTAAGTCTGACGCATCATCATATTGCGTGTGAACGGTGATTACAATATGTCGGTACGTGTTTGCCATGTTGACTTGATCAAATTTACATGTGGGGCATTTTTGATGTTGATGATTTTTTGGAACTTTTCTTCTCAAAATTTTGTGCATTGCGAACTCTCCATTATTGTTCTTTTTGGTCATTGTTGTAACGAATTGTGTGACCTATGTTCCCATTTTTTGTATCTCTTCGTAAGGAATCCAGTGGTGGTGATGAAGGTGGTATTTGATGGCACGCCTACAATGTAGCCATGATTACCCAAATACCTATAGTTTTGACGCATGGGATGATCAAGCACCGACCTCATAAGGCTTTAACCTCGATGAATTGCGCGTCGTGTTCTCCCGAAGACTCATCAAGGCACTTGGGGATCTTCCACGACACTTTTAATGCTCAAAATCACATATATCGATTCCTAGAGCAAAATAAATTGACGATCTTACTCATTTGCACTGATTCCCTGACACCACAATACAAACATATCTCTGACGCCCATTCTTTCGTGTTGCTTGCCTTCTGAAAAAGGTAATCTCATTTCACATACTTTTACCTGCTGAAAGTTCGTTAAACGCTTGAAGGCATTGCTCCAGAGTATCGTAGGTATCATCAATAGCTGGTGCGTTTTCTATTTGAAATCGAACTTGCTAACTAAGTGTTAAAGTGAGTTTCGATGGTGCTGAAATGCTTTCTAAGAAGTTCCTAAGGGTGAAAAAGAAAAGATACAATCTTTGCGATAAGACCGGCATTTATTTGCAGCATTATTTTGTTCCAATATTGGTTGATCAGACACCTGATTTTCTTTTTTTAGTTTATAATTATACAGGGAGCATGAGTCTTCAGTTTCGCTAATGGACCTTCACCCCATACATTGAACAAGTAATTAGATTTAAAGGATTTTAAGCGTCGATTGAATTTTTGTCCTTCATTCAGCCCTCCTTAAATTTTCACGGTCGCATCTAAGCTAATTCTTGCAACAGCCCCACACCAAGCAGAATATTCGGCAGAAACCGTCCCTGACAAAATCCAAAGAGGTCAAGGTTTCGTCCTGGTTATGCTGCTCGCGTGTCTGCAGAATTTGCCAGAAGTAGGATAGGGAATGCACTTTTACTGGCTGGCGTCTCCGAGTTTTACGCTTAATATTAATTTTAAAATATTTTTTATCAATAAAAAAATTATTAATAATTTTGATTCTTGTTTTATTTAAATAGGGAAAAATATCTGTAATTGGTTTTTTTTAATAAATAAATTAAGAAATTTATCAATGTTTAAAAATAATATTAATTTTTTTAATAAAAAATGGTTATTTAGCAAAAAAATCAAAAATAAGCCATCAAAAATCAAAACAAAGCCTCCTCGGCGACGACATCCCTCGTCGGTGGACGTGCAAGATCCATCAAGGGTATCTTAATAGCTTATGGCGGCTCCTTGGATGATACACAGCTGGCTGGCGACCCCACGCCTTTCACTCGCTTGTTCGACCGCACTCCAAGTAGCTGGGCCGCTTAAGAGGCAGCAAGGAGCTCTTTATCGACGATAGTTGCGACATGTATTGGACGCGTTGGTTTGGCGCCACGTTCACCCGGGGATCTGCTACATTTGAGGTTGTCATTACAGCTAGATTTGGACATATTAACGCCACAACACACTTCTTCTGCACGGTGAAGCGAACTACAGGGACGAAACAAAATAGGATCGCATCGGCTTGGTCAAGGTGTGTACAATCCCACTCTTCAGCACGTGTCTACGTCTGGGAGGACCGCATCGACAAGCTCTGACACAGCAATTAATTTCTGGTACAGACGTGTTCAGATCATCTCCGACAACAACATGTAAGTACACGAATTTGGAAACACTGTACTTGCATTTTATACTGATCACCCTCTAGTTGAACTGGATCACTATGACATACTGAACCGCCTATCCTATTCATCTTCAATAGGTTAAAACAGGCCATTCGAACTAGACTTAATGTGTATTCACGAGATGTTAAATAAAGTAGTGACGGCATCTAATTAATGTAACATGCATGTTGTAAACCACGATCTACATCTACATTAATGGACCGATGTTTGAACCAGCACTGACAGCATCCAGCACAAGATTGAATAGCGGAGTATTTCGTCAATCCGTATCACTGCTAAAGGTGCTGCCGGTGCTGCTTGCATTTGTGATGATTGACGACGTGCCCGTATGCTGCGTGTGGCAGTCTTTGTCCGCAGATTCGAACAGCTTTAACTGTGAGCCAAATATGGTCTCTCTTGTTGCGTTTAAGTAAAAAGGCCAGAGGTACGACATGTAGGTAATCTGCGACTAAATGACCTTTTTCCAAGAGTACAAAAAATACAATTTGACCATCGCGATGCCTGCAAATCCAATAACTTGTTCCATGCATGGGATAAAGGTCTATTGCGAAAACTAAAGGCTGATTTGCCGCTTCCTCTGCATGCTTTTCGAATATATAGGTGGTGGGTGATTAGCGAAAACCTGGCGGGTAGTTAATATTAACCTCGCTATTAGATTATGACAGAAACTCGATCGCCACAACACTGCTGTTTCATCGCCGGCAGTTTTTTCCAGTCAGACAAATTCAATTCTATTTTATTAAAATTTAGACCTTAGAAAATTAAAATTTCTCGGGCGCTGCACTTCAGAACGAACCGTCTGCAAAAGTAACTAGTCAAAAAAACTCATCGCTTTTATCGTTTTATTTAAACGAAGAGCGCTTCTTGTCTTAATTTAGTTAAAGGCAGAATGTGCTGCCGAATCCTTATAAAGAGCCAGACTGTGAGATTACATGCCACCCCCCACCGACAACTGTGGACAACCAGGTAAACACAGAGTAAGAAACAAAAGTGGTGGAATGTCATTGGAAAAGCTTGAGCGCCAGTCGATTGAGAAGCATCAGATGCCCTTGGGCACCTCGAAGTGATGCTGAAACGCAAGATTGGCAAAGAGGTCGAGTATTTTGCGCTTCGCGAGACCAATGCTACGCGTTCTTGATAAAATGCAGGCCGAGGCTCAAAAAGAGAAGAAATGCTCGACTTTCGTCCATACTCTGAATAGGTTTTCTCGTTGCTAAGGTAATCGAGGTCTAAATTCACGTTTGTACATAATCGTTTGTCTAACGTTGGTAGCTCCTCATATCTACAGAGCTGGTAATTTTTCTGACCACAGGGTGGGTGCAACCTGTGCAAAAGAATGAGTGGTCCAGCCATCCAAACGAATCATCCAATCGATACGACTAAACGCAGTGACTCTTTAGATTGCAGCAAACATTAGCAGTCGCTCAGCAGAAAATTCCACCGGCTTTGAAATATGGTGATGCGGTCAGTGTGACGGAAACAATTAAGCGTACCCACAAGAGCTGGATCGGCATAAAATCGTACTACAGCTACCGCAGTGCGGTATCAAAACGATTACGCAGCCGAAAATGATCCTTCAGATATTAATGTACTGCTCGGAACATCCTGGTCACAACGTTCGTATACATATTCGACCGAGGTTGGTATGAAGTGTTTTCGATGAAATAACATTTGTGCGTTTGAAGTCTTCCCCAAGGTGTTGTCGTGTATGACGTCATGCTGGATTCAATGCGGAAAACTGTTTCTATCGATCGCACAACGCTAGTTGAGTCACGCAAAGAAGATGAAGGGCACGTATAAAACGAAAAGTATTCACCAAAGAAGAAAGATACGCAGTCGCAGCGTTTTTAAAATGGAACAATAAAAACGCTGTAAAAGCGTTAAAACACATGTTGTCGCTGGCGTGTCTGTTTTAAAGTTGATGTGACCCATTTCTTCCCAATTTGGTCAGATTGTGGCTGATTGTTGCATAATTGGGCACAACCGCGGGCGGCGGAACAACTAGGTGGCGGCGATCGAGTGATTCCCTGAAGTCCGATCGCATCCAATGTAACACTGTACACTTCTTCGAGCCATTGTTTTCTGTACCTGGACGTAAAAGAACACGCAAGCAAACATGATCAAGCGTTGTCGTGTAATCGTAACATTCGCACCAACGTCGTTGCGGAGGCTTAACAGCTTAACAAACCACCGAGTTGTTAGAATAGGAAGATGCCAATGCAAAATGTAGAAGTGTTATTGTCGTTACCAAGTTTCTACCATGCTTCCATCTCTTCGACACCAACCATTTTCGCCCTGATTTTACTACACCATCCCAGGATAGAAACTGCCATTCAACTGAAGTGGTCGGCCGACTGCCACGTTTTTGCAGCGACTACTGCTTCTTCAATACTCCTCCTCGGACGAGCGCTTCATCGGTCACCTGCAACATTCAAACAAGGTTAAACAATTCGCGTAGCTCCGCGACCCTTGGCGCGGCAGTGTCTTCGTCAACAGGTCTGCTTTCATCAACTTCGACTCGACGAATTCAGGTTTGACGATACCCTTTTAGCATAATCGCAGATGAATTTCATCCGCACATCCAGTGCTTGCACTCGCCATGCTTACTTCAGACTCTAACATCTTGATTGCTGCTTGATTGTCCATTAGCATGCTCATTGGCTCCGTCACAGGAAGTCCAATCTCCTTCAGCAATTCTCGCAATCCCAGCAGTCTCGTCAACGTGCGACGCCGAGGTAAACTCGGCCTCCATGGTAGACAAGGATACTCCGGTCTGCTTTTTGCAGATCCAATGCACGATGACTCCACTCACCGTAAGTACTCCACCGGTTATTGACTTGAGGTCGGACTTATCTGCCGCGAAGTCTGAGTCACTCCAACATGTCACCGTGATAACATCTTTCTCATCTTCGAGGCTCATCTTGAGTTTCATGTCTTTTGTTGTCTTCAGGTATCTCGGACGCGTTTTGCCAGCTTCCAGTCGCTGACAGTGGGCTGGTGCGTACGTCTTGTGGCTCTGTGAACCGCGAAGCTAATGTCAGGCCTTGAACACCGGGCAATCCATAGAAGGCTACCCACTAAAGACTGAAAGTTTCGGACAGTAGGCTCGCCTTTCTTGCCCCGATTTGCGACAGGTACACACCTTCTGACACATCGTCGTTGCTGTCGTCACCGATGGGGCCCTCACGCCGTTTGCTGCATCAGACCATGTTGATTTACATCTCATCGATCGCCGTAGTCTGATCGACAGTGTAAGTCTTCGATCCTTTAGAGCCATCCTCATGCCCAGGAACTTGTTAACTTGACCCAAATCCTTAATAGAGAGGACACTCATCGCTTTAAAGAATTCTTCCACCTTGTCCTGACTTGTCGCTGTCACCAACAAATCATCAACATATACCCCGACAATTGTCAGCTCGCCTCCGTCGTGTCTGAAATACAGACATGCGTCAGACACGCATCGACTAAAACCAGCCTCGACCAGTTTCGTGTCCAGCAATTTGCTCCAAAGACGACCCGCCTGTTTAAGGCCGTAAAGCGACTTTTTAAGCCTGAGCGCCAGTTTGTCGCTGCCTTGTGTTCCAAATTGCTTCAAAACACATCAGGTACAGTCATGCCTTGAGGTATGCAAGAAAAATCTCCAAATGTTCCTCTTTGTTCGCCTTCACGTAGGCGTTAGGTATGTCACCATGTCTTGCTGGTACTCCCCAACGTAGGGCAAGTACCAGTATGACCTTCACCGTGCTCAATTCCATCACCGCAGCAAAGTCAACCCGTAGTCGACACCGTAGACCTGCTCGTTCCCGCATTCCACAAGCCTCGCTTTGAAACGATCGATCTCTCCCTCTGCGTTCAACTGGGTTTTGAACACCCATTTGGTGTGTAGGACAGGCTTCCCTTGCCACTTCCACCTTCCACACATCGTTGTCTTCCAAAGCTCGCAGCTCCTCATCCATTGCTGCCACCCACTTATCTTTTAAGCGCTCTTCATGGCCTGACCGTAGGATTTTGGGTCGCTCTCACGAATGACATTCACCACATCCGAAACCTCCTCCTCTTTTGTTCTGCATTGTCTTCGCGTGACTTTCTCGAAGTCGCCCTCGTCACATGCGCTCTCGCGTCCAGCCACCAACTTTCGAGTGGTTTCTTCTCATCGCATCATGAACAGTCGCTTGCGTCTTCTCTTTCTGCGTCGAGCCATCGCACGCAACTTCATCAATCTCCTTCAGATGCACACGCCGTAGTTGATCGTTTTGTTCCTTCGTAAGGGTTTCAACGTTCTTAACATGTTGAGTTACGACCACGACCTTGTCCCTTGGAATGTACACACGGTACCCTTTCACTTCATCGCTCTTGCCTATGATCACGCCTTGCTTGCCACGAGCTCCTAGTGACTTGTTCTTCGCGTCCTGGTGCACAGTGCACGGTGACCCAAAAACCACAATATCACTTAAAACAGGTACCTTCTTGGTCAACATCTGTAGAGGTGATAGGCGACCAGCGTTGGCTTTACTTGGGCTTCGATTCAGTATGTAGGCCGCATACTCCGCCGCGTCCCCCCAGAAGCTCAGCGGCAGTCCGCACGCAAACACCATGCTACGCACCATATTCATAATGGTGCGATGCATCCTCTCGGCCTTCCCATTGCTGGCTTGGTTGCTTGGCTCACTAATTTGCCTCGCAATTCCTGTTTCCTTGCAAAAGAGGTCCAGAGTACGATATTCTCCTCCGCCGTCCGTTCGCAGCACGTGAATGCGACAATTAAATTGCCTCTCGAAAATGCCATGAAGTGTTTAAACTTTTGGGCCGCCACGTCTTTGCTCTTCGCCAGGAAAACTCTGCAGTAGTTCGTGCGATGATCCACAAAATTAACCATGTAACGATTTCCCAATCTGTCGCGAGGAGTCATGGGACCCTTCAGGTCAGAGCAGATGACTCCTCCGATAACATCAATCGGCGCATTCGTGCCAGTGTCTTTTCTCGACTGCTGGTTCTTGGTCTGTTTACCTTGAGCGCAAGCTAGACAGTTCTCACGCGTTTCATCGGTCAGCTGTATCCCTGAGGCTGGATCCTTTGCCATGCGAAGGATCGTGTCATAATTCAGGTGAGCCAACCTTCTGTGAAAGTGCATAAGCGTGCCCCGTTGCACGTCTTGACTCACTTCGAATTTTTTCTTGCGCTAAAGCCGTCATTAGTATGTCCGATGGTAGCTGAACACTTCCGCGATCGTGGTCCCGCACTATTAGCACGTTGTTCTTCTTCTCCACGTCAAAGACAACCACCCCACTGTCAATGTTGCCGACGACCCTGCGATCACCCTGTAGGCTATCCCAAACCCTTTAGCCTCCAATATGCCGTAGGATATAATGTTCCTTTCGAGGTTCTCGGCATATTGCACGTCCAGGAGTCGCACTTTAGTGACCTTGCCCATTACAGTGGTCGTGATTGTGACGCTTCCTCGCTTCGTTATGCGCAAGGGCCCTCCGTCAGCTGCGATACACTCGCTTTGGCAGTCCTCTGGGTTCTCGAGCATGCTCACATCGTTCACCAGGTGACGACTCGAGCCACTGTCCAGTATCCAATAGCCGTGGTTAGCGCTCGGGTTGCCCACTGCGAGCACAAAGTCCACGTCGACGCTTGCTTCTCTTGAGACCTTGTTCCCCGGGCACGCAGCTTTTATGTGTCCAGATTTCCCACAGCTGTAGCACTTGCGATTGTCCTTACGCCCGTTTCGTGTCTTTTCGCGCACATGTCGAACGTTGTTGACGACGTCCTTTCCAATGTGCTTTCCGCGCAGCTCGATCTCCGTCGACTGCGCGAAGTGAGCCAGCTCCTCCGCTTGGCGCAAGTAATCAATTCTTGTTAGATTCAAACGCGCCAGCATTGAAACTCTCATTGCCGGATCAGCGTAGTGGACTATGTTGTCTTGGACCAAGTTGTCTGCTCCACCGCATGCCTCGCTTACTGCGACCAAATACAAATAGTGTTCTGTCCAGCTGCGCTTGGGGCTCTTGGCAGCAGTAAATAGCTTCATACTTTGCGCTGGCGTTATCTTAGTTGCGAATGTATGAAGCAGCCTTTGCATGGCGTGTTCCAATGTTGGCTCTTCTTGCCACCACCCTTCAACTTGGCGATTATAGTACCGCTCAGCCATTCCCGTGAGATTGTGTCCAAGGACGTCTATCTTGACATCCTCACTCCACGGAAATCCGCTCGCACGCTCAGCAAAAGAGACTTCCCGTACAAACTTCTTCCCCCAGGATAGAAAACCGCTCCCTAGCCCCTGGTAAAGCTCTTTTCATCGAAATGACGGATGTTCAGCTTGCGCTGTCTAGCGTCCGGCACTCTCGCATACGACGGGACGTGCTGCGGTATCTGCGCCTGCTGGCACACTGGAGGTGGCACAAAGTGTTGTGGTAACCCCGGCTGCGGCGCCTGTGCCCTCTCGACGTTCTCAGCCGCCCTTGCATACCCCGGTTGGTTCATCCCGAAGTACGTCCCCGGCGACATATGTGGAGAAGGAGCCCTCGGCGGTGTCACGTCGAGAGCACGCCGATTCATCGGTTGCCCCAGGCCTATTGCTGACCCGAACACACTGGACTCCTTGGCCATCGGCTGGTCCTTGGTCCCTTGTGACGCCTCTAGCTTAGCCATCCGCTCCGCTAGTCCCGTCAGTAGGTCCAACATCCTTTGCTCCGTGTTCCCTGGCACCGCCTCTGCCTTGACTTCTAAATTTTCGCCTTGTAGGCTGCTGGCCCTTTCGCGACCAGTCAATGCCCTAGGTTGCGCGCCAGTTGCACCAGCGGCATCAGTATCACCGTTTGGGCTCATAACCTGTTAGAATAGGAAGATGCCAATGCAAAATGTAGAAGTGTTATTGTCGTTACCAAGTTTCTACCATGCTTCCATCTCTTCGACACCAACCATTTTCGCCCTGATTTTACTACACCATCCCAGGATAGAAACTGCCATTCAACTGAAGTGGTCGGCCGACTGCCACGTTTTTGCAGCGACTACTGCTTCTTCAATACGAGTAACTGCGTGCGAAGCTGCACAGACAAAGACAAGTAAACAGTACATGTAAGCGTCCATTTTTAATCTGAACCCCAGAAAATTTTCGTCTAACGAGTGTGGGACCTGTACCAGTTCGGTACGTAACTTCTTCAATCGTAGCTTCCAGCGCATTCTAATAATGTACACAGGAAAAAAGTAGCTTCAAAAGCGCGGCCCAGTCTCTCTACCACGCGACTTGCTCGTCCACACGTCGTGGTAGTCGCTGTATTAAGCGCGCACGGCGCCACGTCCACATGGCTTTCGTCATGGGAATCCTGACACCAGCAACGATACTACCGATGGCTCTGGCCGTGGCCAGCTCGAACGGGATCTGTACAGGTGGAACTACGATGCGCCGCAACTTGGTAAAGCTGAAGCGCAAGTGTTGCTTATATGAGGACGACGCGAGTAGTAGCTCCTTCAATTCTTGTGCGTCTCCTGTCAGGGGCTCGCTGATATGAATATCGTTATTTTCCTGAAGCTGCATCGGCTCATTGACGCGGCAACATGTTTGCGAAATCTTCTTGGCGGTGACGTCTAGGGAGCTCACGGTCGTGAGGTGGCCGCTATTGGCACCATGCGATGTCAAATTCATCTTGCAAAGTGAGCGTCAACTGGACGACTCGAATGGTCGATATAACATATGCTATGACCGGTCGATACAACATATGCTATGACGTTCGCGGCGAAAGAGGGCAGCCGGCTGAAAGAAGATTGCAAGCGGGCTGACCGTTTTGCAGGTGCAGTCCATCGTGTGAGACATACAAAAGCCAATATAAATTGATGAATTCGTGGCAAATCGGAGCTACTGGCTTTCTCCCTTTGGTAAAAACGTTCGTGAACGCGTTCATCTTGTTACTCCATCCGTTAATCTAGTAGTATTTAGCATTGTCTCGAGGGTATTAAAAACTGCAGGAAGCCTGGATTTGACGGCGTCTTTTGCATGGAGTGCATGGAAGGTCCATCGCCTCGTATGGTACATCGGCTCAGAACCTTCATGGGCTCAGCAGCTGCAGAAACGGCAGAGTCGCACAAGTCGACGGTGGACTCGTCATCTGGAATGATAAACAATACGAGCCAGCTGTTGTTTTGCTCCTACTTTTACGGATTACTTCATGTGCTTACTTCATCCTTCATTGTTTTTGCAACTTCACAATCAGGTCAAAAATATGAGCCCAACAACAGGCAAGCGTGAACGGGAGTGCACAGTGTCAACTTTAGGCAGCGACAGTGAGGTCGCTACGACCGGCCGAGACTGCAAACGTCCATGCCTCTCTCGTGTGTCGTCTCCTCTTTCATCTAATATATTTTCCGCCGTTCAGCGCCCTCTTCTCATGACAGGAGGACAAGGTCTTCAAGCGCACCCAATCACCACTTTGGACGCTATCCGCACCAAGCTGCAGAGCACATCCGACCCTCATTTACAAGCTCGTTTACTACTCCAATATAGCTCTACGGCGGCCTCGCCAGGGTGCAGAACTGCAGCTGCTATTGATTTTCTCTTTTCCTTTTTACAGCAGCATCAGACGCAATCGGAGGCACCGAACGAGAGGAAGCAAGCGAGCAAGAGTGGAGCGATCGTGGTGGGTGCTACAGTACGTGGACTGAGACAGCTTTTGGCTGTCAAGTCTGCCGTGGTGGAACCCATGATCCAGGTGGACGCTATGGCCGAGCAGCTTATGCAGTGCATGAGTGTGGGCGAAGATTTTAAACTCCGTCGAGACATGATGTGCATTGTCGTCGACTGTCTTCTGCTCACACGTAAGTACAAGCAGGTGGAGGCACTGCTACACACGTGTGTGCAAGACCACGACAGTGGTCTACAGGTCATCTGCTTGCGTGGGTACCTACGATTACTTGACGCTGGACAGCGCTTCTGTGCTGTTGAGCCGCATTTGGCTACGAAGATGTCAGACGTTGTCGTGGAACACTTCGACCGATTGTTGGGTTTCGTACTGTTTGGACAGAGCGACGAGGTGAAAGTGCTGGCGGCTCAAGTGATGGTGACGCTGGCGGATCTGTACCCGCAACATGACGTTGCTAGTAGTAAGGCATTCCCATCGTTGCCAGCTATAGTGAAGACAAAGATGCCATCATCATTACCGGAGAAAGTGTTTTATGTGTTGTGCTTAGCTGGAAATGATTCGTCGGACACGGTGCGGTCTGAAGTTGCAAGGTGTTTACGGCGTTTTGAGAGGGTGCTTGCGAGCGAGATTGTGGAACATGCCGTGATGAAGTCGCAGATTACTGAATCGGTGGAGGATGCCGCACCTGAAGATGTGGAGAAGGATACGCGTCATATGATGTCCAGTGGCGTGCTGCTTTCACTTTTGGAGGATGTTGACGCGAATGTAGCCGCAGAAGCCTCGCGTTCTATTGCTCGGTTGGGTGAAATGGCGACCACCCCTAATGCTGGTGCTGGGCAGTGGAGCCTACGAGCGATTGAGCGGGCAATTACGGCTCATTTTGACGTTCTACCGCGTGCAAAGGTACCAAGCGCTGTGCAGCTGCGTTATGTGCTAGTAAACTCGTTGAGTCGCCTGCTAGCATGTCGGCAGAGTCTCGGTACTGCTACGGATTTTACTATTTCCAGCACCGAGATGAGTTGCTTGGTTCGCAGTGCTATCTCAGGTGCAGACTCTGTTAATGCTGTGGTGGTTGAAGCTTTGCTCATATTTCGAGGGTGTGATTTGTCAAGTGTGTGGGCGGTCCGGTGTCTTGTCAACTTCATACTGGAGCTAGGAGCTTTGCCCCTGATCGACCATTCTTTCAGCAACTGTGGCAACGACGTTGGTACTGCCAACTGCTCGGACGAGCGACTTCTTGACGTTGTACAAGTACTCGGTAAGAAATGTGCAAAAGTGTTTCGAACTGATGTCATCTTGTCAGATAGTGTTCGAGATGCGGCGAGTACCCTGCTCGGTAGTAAGCGTCGTCTCCTAGGACGTATGTGCCGAGCTTTGCTTGGCCACGCAGAACACTCAAATGACGAAGCTTCACGGCTTACTGACGAGCCTGAGCCTGCCTTCGTCGGATCTAGCTTGCTTTTTAGACATCGTCAATCCTCAGAGACAGTACACGTCACTTCGTGGAGTTCCTCGATCATATCTGCGCAAGCGTTTTGTGCAATGAAAAGCCTGCAAGTACCTCCAACGGACGAGAACGTTGCTGTTTATCTCGGCGTGGTGAGCTCTGCATATGTATCATAAAATCATGTCGTTTTGGAATGGCTAACGCTTGGGTTTTAATCTTTCAGATTCAGCGACTTCGCACAGCGGTAGCTGTAAATGACCTTGATGCTGCCTTTGGAATTACACACGTCCTCGTACGCCTGCGTGAGCACGTGCGTTCGTTTCCGGATGTATCAGCCGCTCCAGTATTGGCGACAAACAAGTATGTATCGATGGAAGCTATGCTTAGTACCAGCCCATGTGTGAGCTCTGACCGCACCAATGGTAGTAACGGAGGAAGTCGAGATCAGACTGAAGCGCAAGCTTTCGGTCATTTAAGCCTTTCAATGGAGCTGCAAAGGGGATGTCAAGAGATTATTGACGCTGCATCGGAAGTATATGTCAAAGCTTTTGCTCTGTGTATAGTGCTCCGCACAGAGCTGCTGCAGGTAAATGCTTTTGTTGTTGCCTTAGTCGATGCTGAGAGCAGTCTTTGATGACTTATTATTTTGTTGATGTGTACTAGCTGATCATGCTTGGTCGCATCGGTCTCGTGCTTGCCTCACTGCAAAGCTCTGGCGATAGTGTTTTCATCTCCGGTACGCTGCGGTGGATAGCTAAAGAGGCAGCTCGGCTGCGTTTCCTTGTTCACGATAATCAGGTTCATGACAGTGTTTGGTTACCAATCGAATCGTTGTCGGAAGTCAGCTCGGTGAACGACCTGAAGCGTACCTTTGTCGATATCGCTCGGAAAGCGTGGCCGGTGGCGCTTATCAACGCTGCAATGTCCCGCTGTTCATTTCCTTTGGACGGTTTTGGTGGCTGTTCCCAACGATTATGTATTGTGGACGCCTCAATTCTGGAACCGAGCACGTGTGCAAGTGCCAAGACCGAGCCGCGTGAAATTACGGCAAATTGGCCGTTTCAGCAGCGTGTACGTTTCTTGCTGACAAATGTCCGCGACGTTACGCAAGTATTCATCAAAAGCATGCTTCCTAATGGCGATGTGGAGCACCATTATGTGCCAGCAAATTGCATCCACAACCACGGACGGCGGAAATACTTGGTCGAGCACACGATCCGGCTTACGGTGTCGCCATTTTCGGACCCGACTGCGTTTGTTGTGGCAGTGTGCATCGGCCATCCGACCTTGCCCGGCTGTGTAAAGGTAAGCAACTGTGCGGCACATTCGTATCGATGAGGACGATGTCTTACGTAATTGTAACTAATGTTGCTACGCACAGCAAAATACTTCTGGATCGAGTGAGGCGAGTCCCCAGATGTTTACAGATATATCGGTCTCAGTTCGTGTCCCCATTTTTCACCGCACAAGTCTTTTGTCAAGGCAGTCAGCCGCAAAAGCGTCGACCGCACCGTGACGGCTAGAAAAGCTTCTATCGTGCCTAGTGGTGCAGGAGCTCGTACAGCAGGATCGCTGACGCAACGCTGACGTTGAGTGAGTCCACGCGCGTATCGTCTTCTACAGCTTGTCCTGTATATTGAGTGAATTAGCGCTTAGACGACAGAATGCAAGGCAACTAAGCGCCTACCTGGAATAATGACAATATCCTGGCAGCATTGACGGATGCTTTTACGGAGACCGTGATGTTCGTTACCCTGTTGCCAAGCCAAAAAATAGGAATTCGTTACTAAAATGCGCAGTCGCCATTCACAACTCGTCCGACGTGAGCTTACCATGACTAGAATCGTAGGTTGGGAATCATCTGAGGACAGTCTGGTGGAGATGATGGAGTTCGGTCCGCTACTGGCGCCAATAATACGCCAACCGAGGTCGCCGCTGATCGCAAGGGTCTCATGCAAATTTTGCACCATCAGCAGTTTATCCTACAGCGATTTACTGTCGTGAGTAGCAATACAAGCGACGAGCGAAAACAGCGACTCAAACGCACATTGGCGACCAGGACTTCCAATGCTCCCACTGACGCACGGGAGACAGCTGGAGACAACGGAGCACTGTTGCGATCGCTCACGATGACCGCTGCACAGCCCAAGAAATGTGCAGACCGAAGGATCGCTCCAAAGTTTTGCGGGTCGTGAATTTCGTCCAAGGCCAAAATCACCGGAGACCGCTTGGACTCGTCCAGATCTTCAGCACACATGGGAGTCCTCCTCCATTTTGTCAACCCCCATACCTTCAGGATGACAACGTCGCTCATTGTAAAACGAACCTGACGGTTTCACCGGGACAAACTCGCTGAGTTGAAGTGGAGCAGCATCCAAGACCACACCCTATAAATAGTACAAAGTGGGTGAGCAGGTGACAAATTATGACAGCCCACAGTCATCGCAAAAAAAGTCTCTCTAACTTGATGCGGTTTGTCCCCCGTCATGTGATTGAGCATCCACTTGCTCGTTGTGTGGATCGGCACCCCATTATCTTGTGCTAGCTCCTTGACGCGACTCAGAGCTCGCACGTCTGACGCACTCTTCTTGATCGGGCGCTGTCGCTCGACCTCCTCCCTCACATACAGAGCATGCACGTGTCGGTGACCACTCTCGAGCGCCTGACGCACGCTGTGAAGGCCGTACACGCCTTCTCCTGTCAGCTGGGGAACGTCTTTGCCATCATTTGTGCGCAAAAGGCGGGGAGGAGGACGGCGGTCGTCACGCCAGCGCCCTCGTCCTCGTCCGTGACCTTGTCCTCTCGAAGACTCGGAGTGGGCTAGTTTAGCGTGAACAGGTTGCAGCAGACACGGATACTGTAACCCTGAAAAGAGGTAACGATGGTTGTGCGAGATAGCTGCGCCCTTGCAGCCAGCACAGGTCGTTGCCTGGTGGTCTGCAGCAGCATCTTCACGACCACGGCCATGCCTTCCAGTGCAACTCGATTGACCTCTACAATTAAATCGACCATCACTCTTTCCAATATCAATTCTAACGACCCATCAAAAGTTCCACCGTCGTTATGAAATTAAAGGGTGTGATGAACAGAACAAAGGGTGCAATCAAAAAAAAACATCCTCACCCCTTGACTTTCATCAAGCCATTTGCGCATTGCCACTTCCGCCCCACCGCCACGTTTCCGTCCGATTTACACCATGGCAGCACTCTCGACGAGCATAACGGCGCTGGCCACGTGCATGCTGTGCTGCAACGCGATCGACAACGTGTCGCGCTTCAACACCGTGGGCGTGTGCAACCACGCGGGCTGCTGCAGCATCTGCGCGCTGCGGCTGCGTCAACTGCTCGGCCAATCAGCGTGCGTCGTGTGCAAGACCGACATGCCGCGGGTGATCTGCATCGCGCAGGAAGACGAGAGCTTCTCGTCGTTCCAGGACTGGGGCGACAACATTGGCCCGGCGCACGTGTTCGACGAGCCGTCGGCCATGTTCTTCTTCAAGCACGACTACGTGACGCGCATTAGCGCGCTGCGTGATCCGCTGTGTACGAAATGCAACAAGAAACTCGGGACGCTCGCGGCCCTGCGGACGCACGTGCTGGACGTGCACGGCTTGCAGTACTGCAGCATTTGTCTCGAGCACAAGAAGGTGTTTATCCAGGAGCTCGAGCTGTTTACAAAGGAGGAGCTGAAGCGACACAATACTAAAGGACGGACGCGCGAAGGGTTTCTAGGTCATCCAAGGTGTGACTTTTGCTTTCAACGGTTCTACTCCACGACCGAGCTGTACGAGCACTTGCGGAAGAACCACTTTGAGTGCGACATTTGTTTATACGAGCTGCAGGTCCAGAATCGATACTACAAGGATTACAATGACTTGGAAAACCACTTTCGAGCTGAGCACTTTTTGTGCGAAGAACGAGAGTGTCGAGCGAAGAAGTTTGTCGTGTTCAAGTCCCATTTAGATTTGCAGGCGCATTTGGCAGTCGACCATCCGCATATGAAGACAAGTCGCAAAATCGACGTGCATTTTACCGTCCGACGAGCGGGACATGGCAGCGGGAACCCCGAAGTTGAAGATGTTAGCGCGTTCCAGCAGCAGACGTCAGGTAATCGCACGATCAACGTGGCCGACTTTCCGTCACTTTCGGGATCCGACAGCGCTGCGGCTGGACCATCGTTCTCATTATGGGAAAACCAGAATACGTCCCACCGACCGACGTCTGAAGACTTTCCGGCGTTAGCTTCATCGAGTTCGTCTTCGAATAGAGTCAGCTCGACTTTTCGGAACGCGCTAGCACCACCGCCTTCAGTAGCTCTCCGCGCACATATGGACAGTAACGGCTGGGAGTACGCTAGTCCAGACATGGTTTCGGCTGCCGCGGTGTTGGGTGCGAACAATCCATTGCTAGGAGTGCTGAAACCCCCTCGTAAGAACGGTAAGGGAAGGAAAAAAGGATGGAAATCGGGTGGTGGTTTGGAAGAAAAGCTGGCCGTCGCTGCCCCGGCAGTAGGTGAAAATCACTCCGAGTCGGAGGATGACGAACCTGTGGGTCCTGCGCCGTCTAAGACTGCACTGGTGTTAAAGATCCGTCAGGTGCTCGGTAGTGATGCGAAGTACGAGGTCTTTCGCGAATGTTGTAAGCAATTTCGCTTGGCTGAGATGGAAGTTCCAGACTTTTACGCCAAGATGCGTGACATGTTTTCGTCAGCTGACTTCTCGCAGTTTTTCCTGCCGCTCATGCGACTGTCTCCTGACAAAGAACAAGTCGAAACGTTTTTTGGATACCACAAGCAATTCAACAAACAGCGTGCAAAAGCCCAGGGTTTTCAGGGTCCCACGTCTAAGCGAGATAAGAAGGCTGCTAAGCAGCAATCGGTACTTGAGCAGCAGACGCCAAGTGCGCGCCGAAAGCAAGAACCGCGTCTGCCGTCAATACCGGCTCAGTCTGGTTGGGAAAATGCCATGAAAGAAAGCGGTATTAAATCAGCAACCGGACGCGAACCCGCTGCGGTCGTTCACAACACAGATATGCGCGCGGTGTTGGGGCGAAATACTCAATCGACTGCAACTTGGAGCTCGTCTGGTAGCTGGCAGACGCCACCACCAGCCGCGTCTGTACGTCCTGTTCTCGGTCGCACCTCGACGGGTACAGAGCTCGCGACTGTTCCGGCCACTTCATTTGCTAGTCTTAGCGTCACCACACCATCGTCGTCGTCAGCTGGGTTCAGTACCGCAGTGCCACCCTACGCGACGAACCCGTTTACGGCACCGCGTCAAATTACGGCATCCCCTGCTGCACCGAGTTTCAAGTCTGCCAAAAGCGACTTTCCTGAATTGCCTAAGGCTGCGAAGACTGTGGGAATGCAGCCCGTGACACGGGCGACATGGGACGATCAGGTGCAGGCAATAGCGCAAAACCGCGTTTCGCAAGCGTCTGGCGATGGTCGCAGCAATGGCAAGAAGAAGCAGAAGAAGAAGGCAATGTCACTTCAGGAAATGGCCATGCATTTTGGTTAGGCCGCGATAATGTCGCTAGCTGGTATGGAAACGCACAGCAAAAGCTGCAGCGTTTTGATGTTGCGGTCGAGATTGCACCACCAGCTGTAAGGTGATTAAAAGCCAAGATAGAAACGTAGCGCATTTTGTTATCCCACCGTCTTACAGCGATTGTGACACAATAATGGTGAGCACTTTAGAATCAAATGATCATCCATCTGCGGGCTTGGTTGATCCTTCGCAAATGTTTTGCTGTGCCATTGAGCCTAGTTTAGTTGATACCCAAATGTGCCATAATCTTGTCGAGTTTACTCTCAATTGCCGCTAACCGCGTCTCCACTGAGCCAGTGCCATTCTCGTAGCTCCTTGAATTCGTAGCGGAAGGCACCTGACGCGGTGTCGAAGGTGCCGAGCTGGAATGATGCGTGGGAGGGGCCGAGCTGCTTCCAGATTTCCGCGCAGCCGCCTCGCGGTTTTTCCGCATTATCTCCGCAAAGCCTCCAGCGCTGTTATTGGTGCTGCTCGATCCACTGTAGCTCCCCTCTTTATCAGCACCTGCTGAGCTAGTCGCCTTCCTCAATTTCCCTCCAGACTTGATTGCCGCCATCATGCCACCCATACCTCCGCCTCCATTTGCCACTGGTGCAGCAGCTCCATTGGTGAGCTTATCACCTCCACTGCTTCCTCCACTAGGATGATCAGCAAACAACGTCTTCTCCACTGTATTGACCTTTTTCAGACTTGTTCCCAGCTGGATCTGAGCCAGCAGACCACCTCGTCCCGCTCCTCCTGTAGGCAGAGCTGGAGAGCTGCTGGTCTTTTGCTTGAGCTCCGGTTTGCTGGATGAAGAAGACGACGATGAAGATGATGTCCCTCCCGAAGGCCGCGTCCATGTCGTCACCTTTGTCTGAGGGTTATAGTAATATTCCTGTAGTAAAAACAGTCGTACACATGATCAAATTACGATTAGTTCAGCGAGTCAGAGGTAGTTTCCACGTCAATCCGGAAAGGTGAGGGAGGGCAATAGACGGACACATGACATAAACGCAGCGCTTACTTTTCCGTCCTGTGTCTTGTACGAAAGCCATGGAGCGGGGTAGGACCATAGTCACGCAGCTGCTCTTGTTTTCCTGCGATTAATCGCACAATGTGTTGAAATGACGAATGCACGATACCCTATCGTATCCGATACTCGTGATCGCAATATTTGATTCGAGCGTTTGAATAGGCGTTTCGATGGGATAAGGTTGACGACGCGGTAGTTTTTTGTAAATGGAGATACAGTGGAAATTGTCTGAACCAATACTACAATAAAAAGGGAGCCGCTATTGAGCCTTCACTTTTCGCTGATGAGCCTTCACCCCATACATTACACAAGTAATTGGATTTAAAGCTGCCTAAATTGTCAATCTGTTTTGTTCTATATTTTCAAAAGTAATGTCCATTCCATCTCATTGACCTGCTGTATCGTACCTTGACATTCCCTCGTAAAAGCAACATGGAAGGCCTTAACCAGATCACACCAGAGCTATTTATTTCGGTTGACAAATATCGCCACACGCTTGACAAGCCGACATTGCCGGAAGGCTATATTACAACAATTAAACGGCAGCAAAGGGTGAAAAACAGCAAGGAAAGTGAGATTAAAGCAGTGAATCTATAATGCTCGTGCAACGCTGTCCACAACAAGTAATTCATTACGATGATTAAATCTCAGCACTCAAGCACAACTAGAGGGTGGGCAGCATAAAACTTGTGCATTTATTCTGTTTTCACGGTCTTCTGTTTACGCGCCAACATATAAGATAGTCCGAGTACGTTCGCAAAACATACGAAGTGCCATCGTCGGAGCTTTTCGGGATGGTTTTCTTGTAAGTAAGAGAGACTTGGTGTAGGGCGGGGTGGTATTCACCTTAATTAATTCGGTGCGAGCCTATTTTTAAAGTGCTCATGCCTGTCGGAGGGGCTGCTCTATGTGAAGATTGCCCATACGACTGGCTCACTGTCAAATGCGTAAAGGTAGAAAATAGAAGCAAAAAAGTCTTTCAAACAGTTTGACAATTTAGGAGGTTTAAACTTAAGTACTTGATTCTTGAATGGGGTGAAGGCTCGTTTGCAAAAAAGAAGCTCATCAGCGGCTCTTTTTATAATCACTAAAAGGGTGGGCGAAGGAATCGGATACGGTGTAAATTTCAGTCAGGGGACGGTCCAGACAAACCCTAAAATTAGCGTCAGTCGGAGCCGCTCGCCTGTCACAAAACGTCACGCAGAGTAGCCCCTCAAAACTTATTTCACACAAGATAAACACCACGCGCGAATCGTATCGGTCGGTCGTGTTAGGACAAACTTGAGGTCATGATTATCTCAAGTTTGTCCTAGTACGACCACTTTTTTGCATCGTTTTGTAGGTACCATTTCATTGCAAGTTCCGCAGAGCCAGCCATTCGGGACGACAAATGCTGCGTCGCGTCTCTTTCTCGTCATGCTTCTCTCTCCGTGTCTCTTCATCGGCCCCCCACTTTATCCGTTTCTTTACCTCCGTCTCTCCTTCCTCAACCTCCTCCCGAGATCTCATTATTTACAACGCTTTATCTGGTCGGTGCGAGCCTTTTCCGCGAGCGTCTTGTGCCACACCAAATGTGTTGAAATGGTACGCGTGTGGTCCCACCGTGTACGATAAAGCGCATTTGGGCCATGCGCGGGCATACGTTAGTCAAGGATATCTTACGTCGAGTGGCGGAGCGCATCGGCGGCTACAAGGTGCAGCTGGTCATGGGCGTCACGGACGTGGACGACAAGATCATTCAACGAGCTCGAGAGCAGCAGATGAGCTTCCAGACACTTGCTCGAGAGCAGGAGCGTCAGTTCTTTCAAGACATGACGAAGCTCTATGTGAAGCCTCCGACAGTCATTACAAGAGTCAGCGAGCATTTGCCGGAAATCGTCCAGTACATTCAAGAGATTGAGCGGAAAGGGTTCGCGTACGAAGCTGTGGATGGTTCGGGAGTGTACTTTAGCACGCAGAAAATGGGAGCCAGCTACGGTAAATTGGATCCTGCACGACAGACGCAACAGGGTGGTGAGACGAAGGCCCAAATGGTGGCGGCAGCCAGCGTGGAGGAGAGTCGGAATGTGGACGAAGCAGAGCCGCAGAAGAAGGACCCGAGAGATTTCGCACTGTGGAAAGCTGCAAAGGACTCTGATGAACCGGCGTGGTGTTCGCCGTGGGGAATGGGGAGACCCGGGTGGCATATTGAATGCTCGGCTATGACACACCACGTGCTTGGTGATAAGCTGGACGTGCACACGGGTGGAGTGGATCTGCGGTTTCCCCATCACAATAACGAAATCGCGCAGTGCGAGGCGCATAATAATACTTGTGGTCACAACGAAGAGTGGTGCAAACACTTTGTGCACTTTGGACACTTGTACATTCGTGGAAGGAAGATGTCCAAGTCGCTCAAGAACTTCATTGGAGTGAAGGATTTCTTGGAGGAGGGACACACTGCGGACGCTTTTCGCTTATTTTGTCTACAGTTCAAGTATCGTGCAAACTTAGTGTACTCAGAGGATCGGATACGGGATGCAGAAGCGATTGCAGATCGTCTTCGAGGGTTCTTTCGAAGCGCCTTGGTATACGGCTATGATCGTGCCATTTCTAGCAGTCATGCTGCTCGAGATGACGTCAGGTCAAAGCGTTGCGAGAAAGAAGACTTGCAAATGTTGGACGTGCTTTTCTCGACCCAAGCGCAGGTAGACGAAGTATTGTTGAACGATTTGGATACTCCGCGTGCATTGTCACTTCTTTTGGAGCTGATATCACGTGGAAACATGTACTTGCTGACTAAACGGGGCGATCGTGAAGCTCCTGATGAGGTGCTTATGTCACTGACTGACTACGTGCTTGACGTGCTTGGCCTCTTTGGACTCGAAGGACTGCATGCCGAGTTTTCAGCCATGATGCACCGTCGATTTGCTTTTTTAATCAGAAACAGTCGAATCAAAGTGATCCAATGATTTCTTGGGAAGGACACGATACTCTGCTTCATACTTTGCTCAAATTTCGAACCTCAGTGCGAGTAGAAGCTTTGCATGATCCCAAGCAGTTGGTCAGCGCCCGCATCCTCGAGTTATGTGACACCTTGCGGAACGAAGAACTACATCAGCTGGGTATTCAGGTTGAGGACCTCGCACCAGGACAGTCTGTATTCAAGTTTTTGTCACCGGCCGAGCGTAAGGTAGCTGAGGCGGATGTCGTTCGGTCGAAGTACAGCACCGCGGCAAAAGCAGATGACGAGAGTGTGCTGGCTTTGAAGCAAAAACAGCAGGAGTTTGAAGAATTGATGCAGATTGCTCCGTCCGAGTTGTTCAAGAAGTCACCAGAGTATGCAGATCGATTTTTCTCGTTGAGGGCTGATGGATTTCCGACGCACGAGGACAACCTGCCACTAACAAAAAGTCAACAGAAGAAGCTTGCAAAGAAACTGGCCAAACACGAACGATCGTACGCCAAGTACTGGGAAGACCGCAAAAATCATAGGCGGTAGCAACTGTGCTAGGAAAGAAGCACAAAAGGTCTTTAAATGTGGTGTGTAGCAATTTTACTTTTTATTGGGCAGCATATAAGATGGGTCTTCCATCGACCATTTAGAGGTATATTAATTCAACAGTTGGTGTACTGAATGCGGTGAAGGCTCATTAGCGAAAAGTAAAGGATCATTAGCGGTTCCCCCCCATAACAATTTATAAACGACGATGTAATTGAAAGCTTATCGTTTTTTAAAAATTACGTCTTGCAGCGTTCGAAAATAGATGTGTCTTTTGTCAAAAAGGATTATTGAGCTATTTTGAAAAAGACAATAAATAGCCGCAATCGATAGTTTGATGCTAAAATAGAGATTTAATTTATTAAAAAGTAAATAAATATATTCTATAATCGAAAAAATGCCCCACTGAATCACGAAAAAAAGAAACCCCCTCGATAACTGAAAATAAAAAAGATTTTCCTACGCATTCATAGTGTTAAAATTCCCCACTTTCTTGCTTACTTTCGCTAGCGCGGTACACTTATAAATGTATAGATTCTTTATTTTCTAATAGTGGCCGTGCTCACGCTACCTTTAGTATACTAGAACATGGGAGCCTTTATATATTTTCTGATTATCCAGTGCAACTTATCTTCTAATTCCTCAGGTCATTTTCATTTTCGTGATTAAATGGGCCATTATTATTTACCTTATTTATCCTTTTATTCGACGTTGGCGTATAAAAGACGGTCTTTAATAATGAAATCCCATTGACAGAACAGGGCGTCCACGTGACGAAATCTGTTTGATCACTCAAACAAGTTAACACGCCTTATTAAGAATACCAACGCATGTTGGCGTGGCATCGCTGCATCCCGAAGTGACCGCATCTTTTCATTTTGGAAGTAAATATAAGCACACCCAATTTTCTTGGTTTCACATCCTCTTTGCCAAACTTGATAAGATAGGGCAGCAAGCTCCAGAGCTCGCCCTCTGATATTAGTAATTAAGTCCTTGGAACAGAAGCAGGTCCTGTGTATCCACGTACCTTGCGCTCAGTCGTAATGGCTTCACCCTTCGGACTTACCATATACCTGATTTCAACGGATGAATGCTATAC